GAGATCTTCTTGGAACGTGAGCATGTCACTGTCGCCCTTCAGTGATTCTGATTTTTAGGAGAATTGGTTAACGGAGATAGCTCATCCACATGCAAAACAAATGGGAGAGGTTCGAGTACAGAGTCCTGTGGCAGTCCGCTATGCACTACTCTCCGGAATAGCAGTTTCGAGTTGTTTCTGACTCTCTGCTTCCTACCTATGAGGAATCCCTTAATCCAGATTAGTAATTTGCCCTTGATTCCAAGACTTCCCAACTTACTGAGTAGTCCTTTGTGAGGCAACTCATCGAAGGCTCCACTGACTTCTGTGAAGACGACATCGAGGGGTCCTCTGTTGTCCCTTGATTTGCCCTGGCTTCCTCTTGCGGTGAGGAGATTTGACAGGCATGAGAGATTTCCTCGGAAGTCATGCTGTACTGTGAATAACAAATTGTTGTTTTGCAGATGGGCCATGATACTTTTCTTGATGATTCTTTCCAGTGTCCTGACTAAATTGCAGATGGGACTAACCGGCCTGTGGCTTGAAGGACCTTTCCTCGGTCCCTCTTTGTGGATGAGGGTTACTATGGTGTCTTTCCAGCCACGCAGTAACACTCCACTCAGGACAGATAGCTTGAAGATCACGGCGAGTGGGCCGGCTTTGTGAGCTGATAGCACCTTGAGAAGCCTTGGATGAAGAGCACCAGGACCCACTGATTTCCCTGCGCCTAGATTCGTTAATGTTTCGTTTCCAAAGGTTTGGTCGAGCTGGCGTTTTCGCCCATGATGCTACTTCTGTGGACTTGAAAGTGAGCACAGCGTTGTCACTTCTTCCCAAAGAAGGAAGATGTTGTGTCAATGTAGTTGAAGATTGAACGATCAATTCCTGGTTGTTTGCTCAAAACCAACTTCCCCAATTTTCGCGGAGGCATCAATACGACAGTCATCGTCTCGTCGGTCGCTGTTCAGAAAGAAGTCAGAATAAAACCGTCAGAAACCTTAGTCATACGTTATTTATATGTTGGTGTATTAATAAAGAATCCTCGAGTCAACAATTGGTGTTTTGGTTTTATCGTCCGTTATTACTAGGCGTTTCTGAGAAACTTCAAGGGACAGCGCGAGCCCGAGCGTAGCAAGAGCTGGGCATTAACGGTTTACGAGACGTGGCTGACATGTTGTATGAGATCCACATCCTCACCATGGGGGAACAATGGGTCGAGTGTTGGGGAGGAGTGCTGTGAGTCATAGTGCGAGGGCCTAATGACATGCTAGAGTAAGGCAGGAGAAACGCCACATTGCAGCATTTATGATGAAAGGAGTTGTCTGAAGATGGCGTTGTAGGGCTTGTCCACTCAACTGTTGGGGCGCTAAAGTCGCCGACTACCAGACTCCGATATTTCGATGTCTCTATTAAGAAGTCATCTGCGCTGCAGTCAGGACTGTGGTATATGGTAGTGAGATCAATATCTTAGCCTATGCGTTTAATTCTGCAGTGTAGAAGTTCACACGATTCACTTTCGTGAGAGAGTGCTTTGATGCCACACACGATTGAGCATTTCATGAGGTAGATGACTACACCACCTCCTTTGTGACCTAGTCGGTCAACCCTATGCGCTTTGAAGTTTGGCAGGTTAACTTCGTCTTCAGTGATATAGGGTGTGAGCAATGCCTGTGTGATGTTAATTACACCTGGATTTCCAGAATCAGTCATATTACCCAGCTAAGTCCGTTTGTTCAACAGGCTGCAGGCGTCTGTGCAGCAAACTGTCAATTCAGTTTGGTCTCGGGATCATCAGACTTCAAAGTTTGACCACTCGGAAGTCCTTAATCTTAAGGTTCTCGCCGTCTCAGCGTCGTTCTCCAAATTCTAGGGCGTTAGGTTGTCCTTTGACATGGTGTGCTACGTATAAATCTGCACGAATACACACGCCTGATCCTTTAGAAGTTTGAGAGCTTCTTAGAATGGCATCCCTCTCTTCTTTGGAGTTGAGTAAGACTTTGAGAAAACGCACCGGCTGACTTACTGTCGAGTCAGGCTTTCGGTCAATTCCATGTAATGTGTATGGTTATGCCCGATACTGTTGTTGGCAGTAACTTACGTGAAAGGGGCTTGACCAAGCTAAGGTTATGCTCAAACCTGGTCTTGGGATCGAAAGCCGGTGATTACTCCACTTTGTGGGGAATGAGAGACCTGTCAGATAGATCATGTTTGCTTGGTGTGGCCTTCTTGCTCTGCAGCGTAGGTTTCTCTCCGTCCTTCGTGGACAGTGTGGCCGTTACGGTGTCCTATTCTCGCTTTTCGCGGGAGACTACATTACGCCATTCATTGGCGTCCCTCTCGCTGATCGTAGTTGATCGTGTCTGTGTGCTCTTACTGGTGTGGATGAGGCTTGATCCACAAGTTTCTGGGAGACTAAGGCTGCAGGTTTGCGACCCCTGATACGCTTCTTCTTCGCGCCAGTCTTTCTATTACCGGCTTATCCAGTATCGTAGGGGCAGTATGGGCGTCTGGAATGCGGTGGGTGTTCTTCTGTGTTGAAGGACACTCATTCCCTGACGGAGACGCTTCAGGAAGATGTGATGTCTTGGCGACGATGCCAGTCACGTCATTGGTGTCTAAGCGGTAGTCGCTCTCCTCATGTAGTTGGGGACCTCTGCAGTCCACGATCTTTGGAGCCCCATTGAGAGTGTAAATGGCTTCCGTTATACGAAACCCAGTCGTAGTACAGCAGTCATTAGGACATGAAGATTCAAAACATGAACTTGTATATGGCCTTTGTATGAATCAGAGATAATAAAAACCAGTGAGTGTTGAAGGAAGATCAATATACATCTATAAAGTTACAAAGGTTAAACTTCCTAGGATTAAATAAACTCAAAACTGAAATATATACTAACTTCGAACAAAACAAACTGATTTAAAGTTAATCTATGGACTTTTGTAGCATATAACACACTAAAAGCCGAAAATAAACAAGAGCCACTAAAAGGCAATGGATAGCGACACACACGGCTTATGGAGAGGCTGAGCACTTCAAAGTCACTTAGGTATACTGTGATTGGTTGATTTGCCCTTGCGTAAACGCTGCGGCTAATACGTAGTACACGTTACTGAGTCGGGCTTTGAAATGGTAAAAATAAAAGTCGCATAAACATTAAGTTTTTCAGCTAAATGGGACAAGTTAAAATATGTATAAATCATACAGATGTGATATGCATTGGATCCAATAAGAAAAGGAGGCATAAAGTTCGAAGATTTAGTCCTTTTTCAGCCTTCTGTTAGAGAAGAATGGGAGAGGCAGTTGTGTGATATTTGCATTTCACAGAAGACAAACTGTGAAAGACAAATCGAAAGTTCTATGATTCTTCAAATCTGTCATGGAGTATATGGACTAATCTTACCGATTCTATTATTGTCCCCCCTCCCCGTGTTCACATACTCATTGTGGTTAAGATAAGGAGTTGTTCACCTGATATGTGTACATCCTTTGATATTCCTCACTGCGACCGGATGTGAATGAAACGATTAATGGACCTTAATTTGACTATGATGTAGCCATAAAAAATTTACAACCATGATTTGTTTCCACTGAATTGTTATGAACGCTTTTTAATGGGAATATATACTGTTTGACTATTGTTTTTTGTTAATATATGCATTTATGCCGACCACTTGTATCTCCTTTATTTATCATTTCGAGGACATTGCAAAGTTGACGAAATTGATAAGCAACGTAGTAATACTTATGTGAAATGCGTCATAGGCGTAAACCGTTATTATTTCCTCAGTGCGTCATCAAGTCTCACATGAAATGTTTCAGTTACATTTAATCCGGTTGCTCATATTATAAGGATGTATCTGTTTTAAGAAGAAAACAGCGTCAAGCAGGTGTTTGTATTGTAGTAACGAAATATAGTAACCCTCTTGTAAATTACTGTCAAAGTCGTAGACCGTTATCAGTCATCATGTGCGTGCAACATCTCAGTGACAATTAGTATGACTGCGTAAAAGATTACCTTTCATCAGGGCTAGCGAAAATTATACGTTGAGTTCATGTTTGTTGTGCGATTACTACATGTACATAATAACAAATGTAGGACGGCTACATACATCGAAAATAACGTATAATAGGTGTATCCTATTGAAGATAATTATCCTATTGTTCTTATGCTGCACAAATTATCACTTTTTCAAAGAAAATCATTACGCATTGCAAAACCTGCTACATCACTATTCCTTCGACAAGCGAAGGGAAGTAGCAATACCAGAATACCGTTAAATATATATTTATTTTGATAAATAATTTTATAATATCACAGAGATTCCAACATTAACACACAAATTCTTCAATTGCACTTCATCAAAGTCTCCAAATAAAATTAACCATTGCGTCAATTACAATAAACCTGCAAATCAATAACAGTAAAACATCTATTACCAAATAATTAGCAGTATAAAAATGCTACAAACCAAAGTACCTTTAAAGAAAAACTTTGTTTACTCACTGTCATCTCACGAGCAAATCAACTCAAACTCCCCTATAACTGTAAAGTCGTGTGACTGCTAACAAGTTTTCATAACTCACAGATTCAAAACACCACTTCAGCATTTCGCTAAATATACTTCGATTACCTAACTTATTTCGCTTTTATTACAATAATCAACAATTCACACAGAATTTTAACATTCCACATGCGAAGAAGCAACGAAATTCGATGACAGATACATGCTCACTCAAACTGCTGAAAACGTCTACTTTCCACCATTTTCCCAAGTTTTTCTTTAAAATATGGCATTTGTAATGTACATCAGTTGGAAAAAACACCTGAAAACAACGTAGAACGACCCAAACACAACATCTCGACTACACATAACGACACTGCGTGTATCTCTATCCATTTCCCAAATACAATTCACTCCATTTTCAAAGCTCGCGCGGAAACTCACTGTAGACGAGGAACCTTACAACCAAAAGCAAACACAAAGAAATCAATTTAGTTCACACTAGCTTGCAAAAATAATATTGGATATTGTTAGTTAGGATTTCGTTTTGTTTAGTCTAATGAATGCAACATGTACGGCACGCGCAATCTGCTAGTCTGCGTTCTTCAACTGTGGTTTGACGGACGATGTTGCAAGACGAAGTGATAGGCAAGGTTTTCTTATTAGAGCGACGAAAAAATTTCTTACTTACAGACATAAAACAAGAGCCAACTTCGGAAGGCGGCCTCCCTCAAAGCTTTTCTGCTCCAGTAAGTTTTTGGTATACATTATGATCTTACGCGAGTTTGGCGACGGATTGATATCAGGTAAAGAAGCATTGAAAACCTAGAAGTACTGGACGACTGTTTTATCGTATTTCGGGAATCATCGGCTGTATGCCCCTACTGCCTGGGTTCGAACCTAAGACCTTCCGGTTACAAGGCAAGCTCGTATAGCACTCAGCTACTGGGACCCGATTCAACGGCCAGTGCATGAATTCTAACTTCTACCTATTCATGATTTAGCGCGACCACCAACCAATGTCGTCGGTGGGAAGTTCACACACACTTGACTGTTTGGAACCCGGTGGTCACGACTTCTCTCTAGAACTCCAGGAAACTCCGCCCGGCAGGAATTCACTAGCAAGCATCAGATTAATTTTCAAGAGTTGGTTTGTAAAGATTAAAATTTGTTTCTACTAGTTTGACCACGGATTGATATCAATTTAATCCTTACAAACTAACTCTTGAATGTATTGTGCTGTTTTTAGATTAAGTCCGTCTTTAGTTACCCAATTCATTTAATTGATTTTGTACAGCCTGAATTAAGTATCAAAAATAAGACTTGTATTTACACTGGTGTTGCTAAAATTGTCCTAATGAATTCCGTTTTTGTAATCCGTGAGGACTGGATAATTGTAGTAGTATTGTGAAATTCTAGCATCCTATGACGTGATTGCGTGCGAATTCAGCTTCCTGGAAGTCATTAAGCAATTCTAGAACAGAAGATACGATTTGATTTGATTGTTACACATTTAATTGGGTGTCGAACGCCATGTGTTGGGGTAGTCACTATGATTTAACTGCATCGGTTGATACTTGTATAAATGGTTTACATCGTGTTCCCATCGTAGAATAATCTCAGTATTATGCAGAGATGCTACACACTTTCCTGCCCTTCATTTCTTTCACGCCACCAATACGTGTCATCACAGTTACTTTCTGCTACTTGTGCTTTCCAATGGTGGTATTAAAACAGTTATTATTGATTGCACAGTTCAGCGAAACAGTTGACTGCATATAAATGGTGTAGTTTCAGAGGAGACGGTAGGGATTCAGTTTGTTGTTTGCATATAAGTAGCATGTAGTATTAGAGTTGTCTTTAGGGACAAAGAATGGTAGGTTTAATGTCAATGATTCCACTCCCCTCATCGTACCCAGTACAATTCGTCCACGTACACCACATGATGTAAGTGCTTTCTTTAGTCGCGTTTTGATCTAAAATAATTCATGTTACGACTTCTTAATAAAGAGTTAGATCAGTAATTATGTAGTGTCGTTATTATCACTTCAGTTTTCATGCATTACAAGAGTGTTCTTGAGATGATACCAGTTTTTACCTAGTTTGGGTTTATCCGAAAGTCATTTGAATGTTACTGGTGCTGAAAACAACGGATACATTTTTATCCGCTTATTCGGATTTATTTTAATTCGTTAAACTCGACTCATTTGTGCAATAATTCATAACAAACCATCTGCTTTTATTTTGCAAAAGTTTGACTGATTCGAAGTTATATTACTGACTACCACCAGTTAGAGGACCAGGGGGTCACTGGACAGCCCACTACTGACTGGCTAAAGGATGGGGTTACAGGGTGTTTTGGTGAAATGTCGTGACCAATGAGGTCCACCAGGTTGGATTCAAGGGCGAAGCTCGCTGACAAGAGTGGTGGATGGTAGCGCCATATGTCGCGAATCGACAGAATTCATGATCCATAGGATTCTTTCGCAGTGACCGAATGGTGAATGGATTCACTTCGCAAATTGAAGGCCCAGAGTTCAATCCCTGATGGGTGTACTATATGTGTGCTGTTGGAGAGTCTCAAATTAGGACGAAAGAGCTGTTCAGTACTTCCTGGTGTTGTTTCTTTGACTGATGTCAGTTTGTGATCTGACTTGAAATCATCTCTTACGGTGTATACCCACATATTGTAAGTCTAAGGTATGAAACCGTAGAATACATAAATATTATAACCTGTATCTCAGTGTGTATTCCTAATAAAATAATCTCAGGTATGCAGGAGGTAGGTTTGACTCTGATTACCGTGTAGACTTCCTGGTTGGGGTCCTCGGGACGGTAAAAATCAATGGTTGGAAACAATTGGTGACATGGCTCAAAATCGTTCTCAGTGGCGCAGATGCATCCACTCCTTGTGACTTATGATTTCCAATGAAACTGTTTTGTTCTTCGTTATTACTCCTCCTTTGCCTCACACCTCTGTTCACTGTCTCTATTATGCTTTTGTTGTACTTTCTTCTCTTGCTTTGTGTGCTACACGGAGTGTGGCGACTTGAACTGCCGCACATATGTGCAAAGTTGTGTCGAAAAACAGACAGACAGACCATGTCGCCTACTTTTCCATACATAATTTAGAACAGGATTGAGAGATAGCAACAACTGCCTACCATAAAATCTCTTCAGGAGCAAGCTTCCTTGGTTAGCATTGTCTTAGTGGCAGGTATTAAATGAGCCCATGCAAGGTATGATGTGGTCATCCAAACTGTAGTGATTTAATCATTTCAGTTGATGTCTTGTAGTTGTCAGTGTGACTCTTCAGGTATAACGGTGATCAATTTCCTCATGTCTTGTGCACCTCTATCTCCCAATTGCAATACTTCAACAACAGTAGGTGGAATACCTCGTCTGCAGTGCATATTAAGTGCTTTGAGTTGTTTTTGAACCTTGACTTTTCCTTACAAGTCACCAGTGTTTTCCCGTCAGTATTAAGTTTCAAGTTTGAGCATTATTTTCTGCATACTTTTCTCAAAGTATTGCTTGAAAATAAATTGTACGGACTTGTATTTTAATTTAATTTATATTTTATTCTTTTACGTTCGCAGTGGGACAAGGGACTTCAAGCTAGAGGTTTGATGTTTCGGTAGCGGTGATGTTTATTTTTAGGTGATGGGTCTGCTAGCCAGCCTTATGCCCAACCTTCCCTGTTTACCAGCTTTTATTACTTGTTTAGAGAGGTAAAGGGCTGCGTTGGCCAGGGGGTCCGACCCTGCACCACATGTGCGGATAGCGAACATTATACCGTGTCACCAACGTCCACGAACTTGTATGGTCACTGTAATTACAGGTAAAGAATAAACAGTGGGCAAAAAAGCGAACAAATATATTCACACTTAGGTCTTCTATTACATAATAATGGCCAAGAATAGTCAGTGTTAAATTAAATAGGATGGAGTGAATACCACTCCCAATATGACTTCCATCCATCTTAGCTCTCTTAAGACTAATTAAGGTATCCAAAGTAGTTAATATACGTGTATATATATGCTCGGATTATTTGTTTCATATCATGATTGAAGTTCTTTCAAAACCATCATTGATCTACATTTTTTACTTAATATTTTACGTCAGGATCAGTGTTCATCAAGTAACATGATTCATAATACAGCTTCCGCAGACACACGCCTACATTTGGCGACAGGTGGTGAGTGTGTTAATTCGTTACCATTTCGTAACGAAACTCTCTCTGGTTCTTCATCTGGTGTCACTCTTCCTCCAACAACGCAATCTTCTGGACCTATGATGACTTATGATGCATTTAATCATCGCCCAATTCATTCAGCTGTTCATAATAGATGTACGTTAGTTCCCCTTCCCACACCACTATCAAAACGATGCACCCAAACAGCAACCAGTGTATTACTGAATTCACAGCTACCAATGGTAAACACTTGTTCCCAATATTTAGGAAGTAATATACGAAATCCAGTTATATCTACAGTCGATCCGAACGGAGTAAGTATCATGAATGATTATCAGAATGGTAATTTCAATTTACAAATATCTTCTGCATTTAAACTGTTATTTTCATCGCCTTATCTACACGTGAATGTAACAGACTGAACATTTGTTTTACACGTTAATAATGTTCGTTATTTTTGTGTCTGTTGATGAAAGACAACTGTTGTTTACATATTTCTATCATGTAAGTAGATATCTTTGTATTTTGGTAACCGATAAAGTTTCAAGGCAGGTTACCTGTGTTGTAGCAATTACAGTAAGGTTTAAACTCTGTGTCATTAGTATATGACTTTGAGGACTAATATATGTGTAGGCAAATTAAATCCTATAGTGGTCACTTCTTGAAAAAGTTGCATTGTAGCAACCCAGTGTGGATTTATGCACCTTGAGCCACACCAGCGTGTACATGTACTGGTTGTAAGGAATTGTTTGATGTCCCATTTTTGAGAAGAAAAACCGCAGTTCGAATATGCACTTCGCTAATTGAGATCCGATCACCCAGACGTATGAGTCATTTTACATTTGGTTTTCCAATGATTATTATTCTATCAGTGGTCTCAACTACTAGTGGGGTTAAACAGGGTTACCCGATCTCCCCATTTCTTTTTAAATTTGCCATCAGTCACATTCTGGAGTCGGCTCTGAAAGATGTGCGTGGTGGGGGTTGTGTGGATCTGCTAACCGAAGACTTCAAATTCGAGTTTGCAAACGATATCGTCTTCATGTGCAATGACATGCATGCTGCGCAAATCGTACTTAGTCAATTGGTGGTCAATGCTTATTTATAAGTATGGTATGTGCTTTTCGCCGTCTAAATGCGAACTATTGTTACAGCACTGGGAGGAACCTGTACCTGCATTCACCCTCACAGGTGAACTGTTAGGAGTAGCCGATAAGTACATGTATCTAGATGGTTGTTTTAGTAACCATCACATGTCGGGTTTATAATGCGTCGGTGCGCACAACCTTGTCCAACGTCTGTAAAATCTATACTCCGAACTGAAGATCAGTGGCGACTCTGTGTATTGGATCACCAATGCCTTTACAGATTGGTTTGCATCCAGGAATGTTATCATCCACAACTCAGCAGTGGATTCTAGTCTTAGTGAGAACATCGCTTATTGATAAGCAGATATATCCAACTGGTTAAGGAAAGTAGTATACAATCGTTTCTGTGTTTTTATAAAGCCACTGAATAACTTGTCATATTTGTGCATCTCAAAATGCATATATATTTATATTTTAAACAGTTGGCAATCTCTTCATCTGCCAACAGGATTAATGAACAAATTATGAATCCTCCTCCTCCTCCTCCTCCTATGGATGAAAATGTCCTACGGGGTCGTGATACTCGAAACTCATCGGGAGATTTAATATTTCCCGGCATAAATCGCACTTTTCAAAGTCCTTATTCAGTCTTGAGACAAATTTATCAAACGGCTACAGCTCAAGACAATTTGTCTTTACAGGTAGGTTTTTCATAATTTATATTGATTGATTTGTTGATATGAGTAGTAAATATTTTCAGCCAAGTCATCACTAGCCTATTCTTTACTCTCCTCTCTGTTCAGACAGTGACCGGAAACTGATGAGTAGATCCTAACTACAACATAGGATCTTTTACTTCAATATGTATATAGTTTGAAAATTATCAACCTTGATTCCCAGTGATTCGTTAAGTGATGCGGGTTATTGTGATGAAATCTCCACTGATATTCATCAGAGATCTGTTGTAATTATTATTCCCTTGAGTTCCAAGTGAAATATAGGGCTTCAACAACACGTCTCCACTTTGTCCTATCTTCTGCCTTCCTCTTCAGCTTGGATCATGATTGCCCACGATCTCCTCCATGTCACCCTAGAACTGACTACCCACTAGTCACCGCTTCCCATTCGCGTGCCACTTGAGCAATGGCCTGCATTGCGCGCAACGTCATTTAACTATCTCCTCAACTTATTTATGCCCAACCCATCTTCATTTTCTCCTACATATAATAATAATAACACCTTTATTCCAAACGGTGTTTGTGGTACGGGTATGGAATTTTCAGCTTGCATTACAGTATATTGCATCTAATTACCTCATAAATTATGTAAGATTTTTAAAATCAAAAGATAAATAAATGAATAAAAATAAATAAAAATAAAAAAAAACAGCGTAGAGTTTACATTTCAAACAATGCACCACCGGATATGAAATATAAAATTAGTGTGTAATAGAAGATGAGAACAACAGCGTAATAGTAACGAGGAAAGGAAAACAAAAACTAATGGGACTATTTGTAAAAGTGCCGCAGTAAGTTTGTCGTGTCATACCTAACGGATTTCTCATCACATAACAGCTGTGCCAGATATGGTATTGTGGAGTTTTTGTATTTGGTAGTCCTAGCATATACCCGCCTATAGCTACTTCTAGTTCTACCAGATGAAATACAAGGAGATAGATGCGTATAGAGAGGATTCTCGGGGTCCGACAATATTGTATTCGCTAGTTTCTTACATGACGCAATATGTCTATCTACAATAGTGTTAACCAGTTGGTTTAACGATATCCCACTTGCCCTACTAACAGCTTTTAGTGCCCTTCTCAGCGAAGGAAAGTCTTTCTTAAATAGTCCAGGAAAGATTAATGGGGAGAAGTAAAGGGGGATGGGTTGAATTGTTGCAAGTTTCTTACTCATATAGAAGAATTGACCGACTGAATTCAGATTTGTGTTGAATAGAATCCGAATCTTGTTGTTTATGCTTCTGCGTGAGTGCAGAAGATTTGCAAACTGGTTTCATATTGATGAGGGCGTATCTCGCCTTTCTGATCCTCTCCGGCCTGCTTTAACGTCTTCACCCGTTCCGAGTGGCTGTAGTGGAAACGATGCTGGCTGCGTAGATAAGTGAAGGAGACAACCTCAGTCAAATCTCTCCCGTTGATGGTGATTATAATAATAATAATTTTTTTTCAATTATTATTGTTGTTGTTGGTGGTGGTGGTGTGGCGGTTGGTTGGTTATCTTCATCACCTCCATCTCCACCTTCTCTATGTTCACCTGGAGTCCTGTCTTCGCTGTTTGTCTAACCTCTTGAGGCGGTTTGTTGGTTTTCGCCTGCTTGGCTGTCTGTAAGTCTTCGAATCCGTGTGACATTCGACACATGTCATCCACACGTGAAATCCAGATCGTCTAGAGTCTTCTCATGGGTGGTCCAACGTATTCCTGTCTTCTCACTCCCCACGCGCAGTGTGACGCATAGACTAGTCCACCACAATTTAGAATATCATCGGTGATAATGGGCAGCCAGCTTGTCGTACTCCTGTATACACCTCGAACGCCTCGTCCTGTCTTCCGTTTTGGATCACGTGACACACGTGGTACTGTCATATTGTAGCAGAAGAAGTCAAGATACGGGTTCCAGGGTGTATTCTGCATTGATCAAACCGCTGTTTATATATCTACAGTTTATATTTGTTAACCAACCAGTGAACGTGTGATTATGGTTTATATTGAATGAGATGAAAAAGAACGTTGAAATACACATATAGTATTCTGTTGCTAATGCAGTATTGAACTGTGGGAATAGGTGAGAATAATAATAATCCGTTGGAACACATTGTCTGTATCCCGCCACCACCACCACAGTATCATTATTTTGGACAGAGATAACTTCGTACATGGATAAATCATGACTAACAAAGGAGATGGTCCATCCCAACATCTCTCTTCTTCAGTGAGTTCTTGGTTGGAGGACCACTGGACATTACTGTGCTGGTATGTTTACTCTCCGTCTGTGTTACCTCCTCGATGTAATAGTATGGGATCATTGGTTTATAACTGGAGGACAATGTAACCGTCTCAATAATTGGTCCAAAACATTTGTCCAGTAGGAGTCCAGTGGGCTACATCATCAACTTCAATACTATCAGAATTCAACTCAGGAAGAGTAGACTTCTCTCATTCTTCGAGCTGTAACTGATGGAGAAAACCAACGTCGTGAAACTATTGCTGTCAAATAGAGTAAGAGCGCCTGTATATATGTAGAGAGAGAGGATTCTTTGCATTCCTTGAAGAGAGGAGAAATTAAAGTGGAACTCCTCACACTTTGACTGATCATATTTCCCGGTTTTGTACAAACAGTATCGCTTCACAGATAGAACTGTCGATGCATTATGGGAATCCAGATTCTCTATTCTCTGTTTTGATGTTTAACTTCAATTTGCATGGTTTTATTGAAGGCGAAGTGTTCAAATAATGCGTCAAGTGATAAATTGTTGTGCACTTCTGAGGCTGACTGACTAACTGACTTGAGAAGAGAATGAATAGTGTGAGTATGGAGATGGGATAGGACGGGAATGGATGACTAGATGATTGGAAAGGTAATTATTGGTGAGGATATGAATGAGATTTTAGCTTGTTGTAAGGCTTCATAGTGTTTCTGGTGCTGTTGTCGAAGTAACTGAATTTAGTGAAATTTGAGTTAGGTAGGTGATTAAGCACTTGTAAAATTGACATGACTGGATATGTTACTGGAATAATTGTACGAGAATTTGTGATTTTTTCCACTGAAGTGAATAACGCTATTGCGGAAGTTTTTTTGTTGACGAAATATGCGTGCACTTGAGGTTCGTCTAACTTGAGTAAAATGCATCTCCAGCCACAACAGTTTTTGTTTATAAGTGTACTAGTAATATCAATATTATATTTGTAATTATTCCTATTATTGTTATTTTCAGTTACCGTCATCCGCGATTCAATGTGAAAATGAGGCAAATATTTATTTAGAAAAATCACTACCGAATTCGCTACTTAATTCAACTTCAATAAAAGTGAGTGAATAAAATAATTGTGGGCGTTCCACTGTTTTTCCCTTGAGAAGATTTAACTAACCTGATGGAGAAACGTCCGTGAATAAATGTATAATCTTAGAAGATATACCAGTGAGGAGGATGTAGTTGACTCACCTAAGCAATTGACTTCCAGCCAATTGGGTGCCAGGTTCGACTCCGGTTCCACGGTTATCATCAGCCCTGTCACACATGATAAGTGTAGCTGTTAGTGTGTTACGTAAGAAATCTGTTTCAGGTAACTGAGTTCTAACAACGACAATGACAGCAACAACAAGAATCGAGAAACCATACCGTTCCCAAGCTAGAAATCTCTACTGTTCGGAAGTGTGTAATATACCGTTAAATGCCAGGATTGCACAGTATTGTGAGCAGCTTCCAAAACTAGTGTTACGCCCCTAGTTTACATAATTTTGCGCAGTTTAAATTTAGTATTTTTTGTGTTCTGTATCATCTCATTCCCCCAAATAGAAAAGGTGTCAGGATTTTTTTGATTTTGAAAAAAAAACTCCATCACAGGTTGAGATCAGTTGGAGGGAATCATTGAGAACGAGAGATAATGTTGACTGTCTCCCCCTGTTGTAACTTCAAGCTCCTGTTTAATTTGATTCGTGGTGGGATCATGTGTATACAGTAACGCAGAGTTGATTATATTGCAAACTAGGATGTGAAAAACACCTGTCCTAGTGTTCTCGTGCTTTCTCAATGCTTGTCTAACTTGTGCCAGTGCAGGATATTTTTTCTGTGGAAAATACCCGATGGGAACACTAGAGAGAGAGAGAATAGAACAAGAAGCTTAGAAAAGGTATCTTTTCGTCAATTTCACCTTCGGTTGCATTTACAGATATATAAGTTCGCATTGTTCGCAATTATTATTGTGATTATTATTATTATTAATTCAAATTAGTAACTCAGGTGACACTATTAAAGAAGGTAATAATGTTCAACTTGAAATGAAAGTTTGAATGTGTGAATATAGGTGACAAGGGGGCGTAGAAACAAAATTACATGGGATTGAAAAGTGATTGTGTAGTGTGTAAAATAGTTTTTGAACGAAGACAGATGTGGATAAGATGCGCATGGAAACAAATTGAAACAATAGCTTTTATAACTGAAGGTGAGAATGTGAAGGGAATGCAGAAAAACAACACCCAAAGAGCCAAATAGAACTGTAACGGTAGAAGAGAAGAAACTTGGTAACGGAATGTTTATTTGGTATTTGACATGTCTGTATACAGGGAAATTCTGTACACCTTGAATGACATCCATAATTTGCACATATCCAACCTGTGTTGTGCTACTTCTGCTCCCCACCGCCACTTTGTATTGTATCTCTTTGTCTTATTTTCGTGTCTTCCATTTTGTCTCACAATATACTGGTTCATTTGCTCGCCTTGACGTCAAATCCATCTCTCCTTTATTTGATATTTTTGTGCTGATGAATGTCCCTGTATACACCACTGACGAATCTTGTCAGTAGCACATGCCACGAAACTAGAATCATAGTTGAAGTCTACTTTAATTCCTTGAAATTTTCCATCTTTACATATGATGAAATGAAAGGCTGTATTTCAGTATGTTTCTATGCTCATCTCACTCACATCTGTCTTAGTTAAAAACTGTTCTACATACTCAGCGACTATTCGACTATTTTTAATCCAATGTAATTTTTGTTTCCATGCTATTTCTACTCTAATTGACTGGTTTCAACACAGAACCTTGCACACTTGTGCATCAGTTTGAGTTGCCATACTCCATGTAACACACAAACCAACACAAAAAATCCACATAGAGGTTCAAAAGAGAGACACAGATAATAAACAGTGTCAGCGTCAGTGAGGGGAAAAGATTAGTAATATGGAAGGACAATAGAATTTTATTGGTTATGAGAAATCACAAAGAGCGAATGCATCTGCGCCAGCCATCACCCGAAGACGATTGTGAGCCATATCACTAATTGTCTCCAGTCACTGGTTCTCAGCATCCCGAAGACTACAAACAGGTACTCTACACCTCCCAACGTGACTGGCTGGCCTAAACTAACTTTTGTGGATTTCACTGACTGATGAAGCCATGTTTTGGTTTGACCACCATCTGCTAGCTATCCTCCAACCTGATCCATTCTATGTCAGCTAACATTATCCATTATCGAGGAAGGCAATGGCTAGTTAGGCATGTGTAACACATGTCCTAACCATCTCTCTCAATCGATGTAACTTCACAACCTCGTCGACTGATTTCCCCTTCTTACACAGCACTCGACCGATGCCTAACCTCAATACTGGTCACTCACTCTGTTATGCCACCTAATATGGGAGACAGAAAGCAGACACCTCTGATCGGAGATAGCTAGCAAGGCTTCTCATGTATTCCACTTTCAGCGGCCATATCTCGCCCATGGCGGGGCGTACTGTTGAGCAGTACACACGTCCTTGGGCTGAGTGCTAGTCGGTATCATGTCTATTTGGCATACGCGATCGAGGCTCCTGTATCCATGCTGAGAATTGATTCGTCAGGGACCAACCGGTTGGGGTTGATGCAACTTCCTAGGTAAGTGAAGTGGTCAGTACACCCTATCACTTCAATCCTTATCTTTACGCTGGAAGTCGATGTAATCCAGTCCTGCAGCCTTATCATCTTGTATTTGGCAAGGGGAGCGAATTGCATGCCAAACATTCGAAGATTGCTTGCTGCTCAAGGTATTTAGAAGGCATTACATTCTGTCAGCGGAGTACTCTATATTCACTCCTTCCAACTTTCATCTGATGTCGAGAAATTCTTGACTGGAAAGTGAATGGCATGTTTCTGGGTTATTCAAAAGACTATATGAATGTGAATTAACATTTGGATTCATTTATTCCAATGTATTTGAATAGCCTAGCAACATGTCCTTTCATCTCCTTTTGTTAGTATGTTGAATTAACTGGTAATAATAATAGTAATAATAATAATAATAATTGTGAACTATGCGAGCTTATGCATAAAAGTGCGATTGTGCATCATTGTTGAGAATGAAATCGCCAAGAGGTGTATTGATTTTCAGGTTTGGTCACGAGTAGTTGACATCAGTTTGGGGGGAAGACTGAAAAACCTGGATGTTACTGAACAGTTGTTTCGTCGGAGTCTGTGGGACTGTTCAGCATCCTGTCTGATTATCAAGAGATTTCTCACATCTCCCAGTTAATGCGATCGTAGCAAACTGTCTTAGCGTAGCTATCTATGGTTAGAATACAATTGATTCGTTTTTAAACACAAATATTACATTAGTGTACAACCATACAATGGGTATCGAAACATTTTTGTGAGAGAAAAAAAAGGCGGACAGCTTACTTCAACGGTATTGAAATAGTCTAAAGTGAAATTTTTAGATGTAAGTTATGTTCGCGCATGTAGTAGTAGTAGTGTTGGTTTGGTACAGACAATGTGTTCCAACCATATGTGATTCTCACATATTCTCACAGCTCAATACTGCATTAGCAATGGAATACTATGTGTGTATTTGAATGTTCTATTTCATGTTGTCTAATGTAAGCCAAAATCATACGCTCAGCGATTGATTAACGAATATAAGCTGTAGATATATAAACATTGGTTTGATCAATGAAAAATATACCTTGGCGTCCGCATCTTGCCTTCTGTCGTTACAGTAGTAGTAATACTCTAGCTCCAGGGTTAGGTAGTGAATACGTGTTTAGTCATACGGCAAAGTGACGACATCACAGTTGTAAGTAGTCATAGTGGTGCGGGAAGTGGAATGGAGTAGTGTTATTGTTATGATTATTTTAAGTATTGATCATATTAATATTAATGTTTCTCCATTTTCACAGGGTTTTCATATTTGCCTGTGTTGCCATTCAAAATTTACAAGTCGTGCTTTGTATGAAGACCACCTGAATCGTGCCGTCGCACGAATATTGTATTGTTGTCATCTCTGTCGTGGTCCTTGGACAACTTTACATGAGGCGGTCAGTAACGCTGATGTAAATACAAGTCATCAACATCATCATCGTCCGGAGGACATCAGTAGAAATCCTTCAACTACTAACAACACTAATAATCATGAAAGCGGAATGTCCTCGCGATTTTATTCTGTTCTACAGGGTGGAGTTATCAGCGCTAATAATAAATGCGCCATATTTACTCATTTGATATCTGCACACCCGGATAAAAGAAGTGATTGGATTCTCAGACCATCACTTCTTACAATTTTTCCGTTGGTTATGCCAACCACATATTTAAATTTAGCAGCACAGACCACCTCCACTACTACTGATATTCAATCTTCTAATGTATCGAGTGAGTTGACTCATTTGTTGTTTGTTTTTCCTTTATGTGCTGTGACTTTATGCTATGTATGTTTCTGTATTTTTGTTGTGCCCTATCATTGTTATAATGAATATGCATATGCATGCGCGTGTATGTGCGTGTGTCTGTCTGTCTGTCTATCTAAAAAGGTGTTTACAATGTTTTGCTTAGACTCACTTGTTATGTAAGCAATATCTATATAGGCTGCAGGCGGTGGCATTGAGTTTGATTAATGAATGCCTTTGGAGGGCTTCGTGTGCGTGTTTACCACTACACTTATTTATGAATTTGTATCTGCCAATGTTGTCAGCGGGGTTGATCGCTGATGGAATCACGGCACGGATACAGAAGGCTCGTTTCGCGTATGCTGGCGTACACTATCTCTGGCGTAGACGTGATGTCCGGTTAGCTATCGATCAAAGGACATGTGTACTGCTCAGCAGCCATTGAAATCGGAATACATGAGAAGCCTTGCTAGCTATCTCCGATCAGAGGTGTCTGCTTTCTGTCTCCCATATTAGGTGGCATAACAGAGTGAGTGACCAGTATTGAGGTTAGGCATCGGTCGAGTGCTGTGTAAGAAGGGGAAATCAGTCGACGAGGTTGTGAAGTTACATCGATTGAGAGAGATGGTTAGGACATGTGTTACACATGCCTAACTAGCCATTGCCTTCCTCGATAATGGATAATGTTAGCTGACATAGAATGGATCAGGTTGGAGGATAGCTAGCAGATGGTGGTCAAACCAAAACATGGCTTCATCAGTCAGTGAAATCCACAAAAGTTAGTTTAGGCCAGCCAGTCACGTTGGGAGGTGTAGAGTACCTGTTTGTAGTCTTCGGGATGCTGAGAACCAGTGACTGGAGACAATTAGTGATATGGCTCACAATCGTCTTCGGGTGATGGCTGGCGCAGATGCATTCGCTCTTTGTGATTTCTCATAACCAATAAAATTCTATTGTCCTTCCATATTACTAATCTTTTCCCCTCACTGACGCTGACACTGTTTATTATCTGTGTCTCTCTTTTGAACCTCTATGTGGATTTTTTGTGTTGGTTTGTGTGTTACATGGAGTATGGCAACTCAAACTGATGCACAAGTGTGCAAGGTTCTGTGTTGAAACCAGTCAGTCATTGTCTTCATGTTTTCGACATGGAACTTTGCACCGATGTGCGGTAGTTCAAGTCGCCACGCTCCATGTAACACACAAAGCAGGAGAAGAAGATGGAAGAATTGCATAATAGAGACAGTAGACAGAGGTGTGAGAGAAAGGAATCCGAGTGAGTCATTAATACGTGATCGGTGAGATTGTGTATTTTGGTTAAAAATAACTCCCTGAATTCTTTTTTTAGTAAACTTGAACAAAGCATGAATGACAAATGTACCACCAGGATACTATGAACTCATCTCTGATAGTTTCGTGGATTCTTCTCACACCGTTGGCTCCAGCCTGAACAATACAGAAATGTATAAATTACAATATAGATTTAAACATACTTTTTACACCAATGATAGGAAGTAATTGGTAGCAACTTAGTGGTAATTGGTAGTTTTGGAATGATGTATGTTGTGAAGTTACTAAGAGTGAAAAGGATTGACTAGTTATTCAGAAATTGGATGACTGGTGTGTTGGTGGCACAGCGGTGGAATGCTCGCCAACTACGCATGTGGTCCAGAGTTCGATCTTCGGCCACTGACGACGTACTCCTTTACTTCTCTAAACCAGTAATACTAAACAGAGTGGTGCATAAGGCTGGCTAGCAACCCCATCCCGTGAAAATAAATTCCACTGAATTAGAATAAAATAAATGCTACCAAAACTTACAGCCTCTAGCTTGAGTCCCTATGTTCCACTGGGAACTTAAAGGAAGAAAAAAATCTTGTAAAAAGTATTTTTAAATCTTTTCGTAGCCATTTGAAAAGGATTTGTGAAAAGATAAATAAATGTATTATTGTTCTATACCTATTATTACTATTGCTTCCTTGGGTTCCTAGTGGAACATAGGGTTTCAACTGCACGTCTCCACTTGCTTCTGTCTTCTGTTGTACTTTTCACTTGCATCCATGTTAGTCCATACTCTTTCAACTCCTCTTCACACGATCTCCTTCATGTCACCCTTGCACTGACGTCCCATTCGCCGGTTCCCTTTTGGGTTCCACTCGAGAAATGGCCTGACTCGCGAAGTCACCCAGCGGTCTCCTCAGCGAGTCTCCAATCCATCTCAATACACTTTCTCCTGCAAATTTGTCGGTAGGCGATTGGTTCTTGTTCTGTTTGTTCCAGCCAAAGTTTCTTGTTGGTGATTCTTTCCGTCCCGGCCATCTGATCTTCAGTATAGAGCGAAGACAGTTGTTGATAAAGGTAACGTCTGCAACAGCCTGTTGGAAATATTCTTTGTGACCCACCCGCCAAGTTTCTGATCCGATCCGTATAGAAGAACTGACGGACTTGACGTTTGTATTGAAAATCCGACTAAATCTTGTTGTTGATGCTGAGTGACGAAGATTTCCATATTGGTTTTACGTTAATGAATGTGTTTCTCGCCCTTCTCCCCGATTCTCGATTTGACATCCTCGTCCGTTCCGACTGGCTGTTGTTGAGACAATGCTCCCTAGATGAGTGAGTGAATGAAGTAACCTCTTTCAAATCCCTCCCGTTGATGGTGATTGACGCTGGATTTTGGTGTTGTTGTTGTTGTTGTTGTTGCTGGTTGGTTATTTTCATAACATTCGTCTTGTCTATGTGCACCTGGAGTCCTGTCTTCGCCAGCTGCTTCTTCGACCAGTTTGTCGGTCGGTTTTCGCTTGTAAGTCTTCGATTTTGTGTGTGTGTGTGTGTGTGTGTGACATAAAACACAATTCATCCACGCGCAAAATCCTGGTCTTCTAGGTTCTTCGCGTCGGTCGGTCCAGGATATTCCTGTCTTCTCGTTTCCCACTCACTGTCCGACGCATAATCCAGTCAGTCCACCACAATTAGGAATATCACAGATGATAATATGCACCCTTGTCTGACTCCTGTGTTTACTCCAAACGCCTCACTGAGTTTTCCGTTGTGGATCACTTGACATGTTCCGTTGTCGTACAGCTGTTGAATGAGGTTGATGAATATTTGAATATATATACGCCGTAGTACTCGAGTAGTTTCCAAATTACTTCGCGGTCAACACTGTCTGTCGAAGGCCTTCTCAAAGTCTATGAAGTTGAGTTAGAGGTTTGATTGATGGCCATTCCATGCTTTGTTCTGTGATGATGATGCGTAGAGTTGCAATTTGGTCAGAACATGATTCGCCTTTCCTGAATGGAGCCAACTTGTTCTGGTCGGAGTTCTGTATCCAGTGGGTCCTCTACTCTCTCTCCAGGATGATGCGACTCAGGATTTTACTTGGTGTCGACAGGAGCATGATTCCTCGCCAGTTCTTGCAGAGTGAGGCGTAAGTCTCCCTTCTTTGCAGTTCTATAGCTACTGCTCAACAAATATGTAAAAGCAAATGGAGATGGATTGGGCAGACGTTGAGGAGGCCATCATCGAATGACGTCGCATGCCAGGCCTTCGAGTGGAAGATGAGCGTAACACGTCGCAGACCAGAGACTATGACCAATCGTGGGACAAGCCAAAGAAGACCACAGGGAATAAGAAAAAGTGAAGAACTGCTGTTTTAAGCCCTATGTTCCTCTCGGAACGCAAGGGATCAATAATAAATAATAGTAATTATTATTATTCTGTATTCTCATATCAACGTTCAGTAGATGATCAGACGAGTTAATAAAATTGTCTTCACCCCGAGCAGTGATCACTTCAACCAAACACACTATCAGTTGACCAGTGAGACTGATTTATCACACCACTTCAGTCTAATTGATTCAAATACTGCAATCAATGGACGCAAGTCTAATGGTTGCAGTGGTTGTTGAACAGGTTGTCAATGTTGATTATTAACCAAATGATCACGATTCATCAAACATTGGAAAAATGCGATTTTCAATCATGTCAGAAGCATTATTTATTTTATTGTCTATTTGATAAAATCAGAATTTTCGATGTGGTTTTGTTCTCTGAGCTGGATGGTTAGTTTGCGAAGCTTTCATCACCTTACTGGGTGACATCTTCAGCGCATACTTCAATTTGAAGTGAGCTTCTAGATTTCTCCACGAGTTTATTAATCATCTCTCCTGGTGACCTTGGACGTGATTGATTGTTTGTGGGTGCCTTGTCAGAGAACAAAATCACATGAAAATCATCCACCTGAGCTACAAATCTTCTCTATCATATCAGGATTTTCATTACGAGAATAGGGCAGAGCTAGGGCAGTCGCATCACTTTTCCTTGTGACAACTCATCACTGTGTGTGTCAGTCCAACGACCTTTTAAGTTGATTATTCAGCACTTTTGTTTAATTTTCGTACATGGCTGACTAATTGATTGACTGACTGACAGACAAGTGGTTAATTGTCAAGTTGCATTGATGAATAGTACTCGTTGTTTTCAAATGATTATTAATAGAGAGAAAGAGAGAGAGAGAGGAGGGGGGTGAGAGTTCATACAATTTCATCTTTTTTTGCCTGAACAGTCATCATCATCATTCAAACAACTACACTAACAGTAATCAGTGCAATTGCGTTATTACTGGTCAATTAATTAGTAATCAGGCCAGTTGAGTCTTATTTGATAAAAATAGTCAGTTAATGTGGACGACAATAAGGTGGAATACAAGCAATTCTAATGGCTTTTAGAAAAATTAAATAAATGATTACTAATACCCGTTACCCGTTGCATAGCACAAGAGGATGGTACTGGTCGCCCAAGTAGGTGGTGGTCCAGTGGAGGATAACACTTTAATCTTTGTAACTATGGCTACTGGTTCGAGCCTCAGTGGATTGGAGGAAAACCATCACTGGCTGAGGAGGGATGCAGGTACAGCCAGTCGATGAGTCAGTCCCAAATATGACGAAATGGTGTGTGTGTGGGGGGGGGAGGAGGGAGGGTGGCTTCCACTGGTAGTCATCATCATTCACCAAATTACTTCAAATTCTTAACCCAGTTTTGAAATACTAAAGTTGTTAGTATTTATGAACATGTGAAGTCATGAAATCTACTATCCTATGCTTTCAGACCATTAATCCAAGGTTATTGTTAAATGCATAAGATGTTTTATGACTGGAAATAATCAAGGGGAATTTCTAGGCCTAGGTGAAAGAAAACACTCATATAGTTAACAACGCCGGTACTTTTGATGAACAGTAATAAGTGTGTTCGGGACAATAAATACATCAATAATATTAGGAATGATTTTGTATCATCCCACCGACCGTCTCCAACCACTGACTTTTATCAATGTCAAACGTTGATATTGGCAACAGTAAAGACGCGACTGGTTGTAGGTTAGATTACGAACTGACGTCAGCTGGAAGCCTATTAGAAACCAATGTGTCAACTATCTAAATCGGACAAGATCCTGAACCTAGTTCTGCTGGCAGAAAACAAATCGCTGTCTCAGATTACTATGTGCGGTAACCGGAAAACAGATAGGCGATTTACCAGGACTACAGGGTTACTACAGCACACTTCACAATATTTCTGATCGTTTTTTCTCCAGTCTTCTGTCAAACAGCGTATGATTGCGTCACGGCCTCCAATGTTTCCCGATCCCCTTCCTGCACCGCGAAAATGGAAATCTGTTCGAATAGACAAACCATATGCTGTTTATTCAATATTGACCAACATTGACGCAGAGATGTCGATGCCCCCTCCCTGTGAGGGCATAGTTGCTTATTGCCAGTGTCTTAGACTATGACGAAACAGCTGTCTAATACACTTTTTGGTTTTCACTGGCTCTGTCAACTGATGTCCGTTTATAATGGAATTTGAGTGTGTATATCGTTCTGATACCCAAAAATGGTCAGAATGTTAGCGTATATTATCAGATTGAATAAAGTCTCAATTGCCGAAAAAATATTGTGTATACCTACACCTGTCTGTAAGCAGCCTATATTTTGAAAGAAAACAACAATCCATGGTACTGAGAGTGTAATACTCTACCTTTATTTGTTGTTTGCAATTGTTGAGTAGTATTCATAATTGGTAATCCCTCTCTCTCTCTCTTTCTTTTGTATTTTTTTGTTTTCATTCTCCAATTTCCTCCCCGATTGTTTGTGTTGTTTGTTGTCGTAGATGAGCAAGCGCCTACACGTCTAACATCCAATCAACTTGTCAAAACTCATTTGAATGATTTGTGTAAATCAAGAGTTTGGAGTGATCTTCAACATAGTCTTAGGTAAGTTTCATTCTACACTTTCACTATTCCTTCTGATTTTATGAAATTGTTTGTGTTTTTAATTATGCTGGTACTGTGGTGATGGTGTTGGTGGTGGTGTGATACAGACAATGTGTTCCAACGGAATATTATTATTCTCACCTATTCCCACAGTATAATACTGCATTAGCAACAGAATACTATATGTGTATTTCAACATTCTATTTCATGTTGTTTAATGTAAACCTAAATCATAAGCTCAGTCATTAGTTAAGCAATATCCGTCTCTGTCCGTCTGGATTCAACATAGAACTTGGCACCGAAGTGCAGCAGTTCGAGTTGCCACGTTCCAAATAGCACACAAAGGTAGACAAGAAGATGAGTGAAGGGAATCAATAGAGTTTGACAGGTATAAAAGCGAAACAGAATGGGTAATGGTAAATAGAAATATGAAAGATTACAGAGACTGAATACATCTGCGCTGGCCATTGACAACGATTTTGAGCCATGTCACCTATTGTCTCCAGCCATTGATTCCTAGAGTCCTGAGGGCCCCAACCCGGAAGTCTGCATCTCCCTACCTGACTCAGTTTAACTGTCAAGGATTTATTTCATGGATTGATGGCATGTTTTTGTTTGGCCACCACTTACCCTTTTCCAACCTGCACCTTTATCAGCTAGTAATGCCCGTCGGGGGAGGCGATGGTTAGGCATGCACAGCATGTGACCTAGCCATCTCAATCTATGTAACTTTATAGCCTCGTCAATTGATTTTCCCTCTTTGCCCAATACTCTACGCCTAACGTCAACATTACTTACCTTATTATACCACCTAACGTGAGAAAGAGATCGTAGACATCTATGATCAAAAACGGTAAACCATTTCATGTCTTTAACTCGTATTGGCCATGTTTCAGAGCCATAGAGAAGGACGGAGCGAACTGATGAGCAGTTCACACGCCCCTTGGTTGATAACCGGATGTCACGCCTACGCCAGAGATGGTGTAAGTCAGCGAAAGCAGCTCGAGCTTTTTGGATCCGTGATGAGATTTCGTTGCCAATCAGTCCGTTGGTGCTAATACAACTTCCCAAATAGGTGAAGTGGTCAACATGTTCTATCACTTCACTCCCTATCACTAAGCTAGGAGTTGACATAGTCCAGTCCTGTAGCAGCATCTTACATTTCGCAGGGGCAAATCGCATGCCAAACATACGAAGATTGCTGCTCAGCTCAAGGTGTTCAGAAGACTCTGCTGGATTTTGTCAGCATCCTCCCCTAACGGGACTATGTCATCTGCATATTCTAAGTCCAATAGATTATTCCCTGGTAACAAGTCGATTCCTAAGTCACTACGTTCAGTTGAGGATACTTCCGTTAGCCTATCTATGATGAAGTTAAACATAAATGGGGAAATGGACATCCCTGTCGGACACCACTGGTTGTTACCAATTCAGATGACAATTCCCCATAAGCCCTTACACAACTACGTGAGTTTGAATAGAGTGCCTTGGCACTCCCTTCATAGTGAAACATTGCCATAGTACCTTTCGATCCACGGAGTCGAAGGCTGCCTTCAAGTCAAGAAATATGGCAATTGTTGGACGCCGAAAAGTGTGTCTATGTTCTAGAATCTGTCGAAGAGTGAAGATATGATCTATGCACCCTCTACCTGGTCTAAAGCCTGCTTGATTTTCCCTCGTTTGTTCCTCCCGAGTTCTCCTTAGTCTGTGCATGATTACTGAGCCTAGGATTTTAGAGACTATGTTCGTTAGGCTGATCCCCCTATGATTATCACATGAGGACTTGTTTCCAGCGTTCAAAGCGTCTATCCAGAGAGCTAATTATGGTGCCATTTTTCTCCGAGATTGTTTCACTTATGATTTGCCTTCTCCCACCCGTTTCCCTGATGAATCTAAAGAGTTACTTAGTGTTGCCTATCGCCGATGCTTTTTCCATCTCGTTCGCCTTTGTCACCCACTACGGTTCACGGTCGTTGCGGAGACTCTTCTTAAGTTTCCTTTTGTGCAGTTTTCGCTCCTCATTGAAATCGGAGCTCGCCGGAATAAGTCTTCTAGCATCTATCAGTTCGGATGAGGCGGTGGAGATCCAATGGTTTTTACTCACCTTTGGGTTTACCTTATTAACAGCTTTTACAGCTGTATCTATGGCTGACTGAATATTCTTCCAGGTTTCTTCAGGGTGAGCACAGCTGTCGAACTCAGATATGTGTTTAGCTAGTTCTTCCTCAAATAGGGATTTAGTTTCCTGATGGAGCTGGCGACGTGATGGGTTTACCGCCAGCTGTTTCCTACGTCCGTTCAGTCGTTAGCACACACGAGTGCCGACCAGTGCGTGATCAGTATTTACACAGGTGTTCTAGAAGGAGCGACATTCTCTCACAGACCCACGCCAACGATAGCTTATTGCTATGTGGTCTATTTGTGTCCAGTGTTGGTTTGGTGATGGGGGTCGCCAGGTCAAACAGTGTCTCTCCTTGTGTTATGATTATCTGGACAGAACTGTAGGAGACGGTCACCGTTGTTGGTCCGTTGGGACGGAACTCCATAGGTGCCACCGACATCCTTCTCAGATTGACACAATTTCCCTACTTGAGCAATAAAGTCACCAGCTAGAACGACTATATCTGAGCGTTTAGCCTTTCTCACCAAACTAGACAGCTTTTGGTAGAACTCATCCTTCGTTTCATCCGAACTGCAGTCAATGGGGGCGTAGGTGGAGATTACGAAAAGGCATCGGTGAGTAGTGCAGTCCTTTCTCCATTTTACTGATCCGTTCAGACGGACAGCACACATTTGGCTATCTACCGAGATCCAGTCAAGTAATGTCTTTTTTCTCCTAATAATCAAAGCTATCCTACGCCAGCTAATCCTCGTGAACTAGCTGTGGCATCTCCTGACACCCTCAAGGTGAATTTCGCTAAGCAATTTTTGTTAAGCAATATAAACTGTAGATATGATCGAGAGGATTTGTAGCTCAGGTGGATGATTTTGATGTGGTTTTGTTCTCTGAGCTGGATGGTTAGTTTGCGAAGCTTTCATCACCTTACTGGGTGACATCTTCAGCGCATACTTCAATTTGAAGTGAGCTTTTAGATTTCTCCACGAGTTTATTAATCATCTCTCCTGGTGACCTTGGACGTGATTGGTTGTTTGTGTGTTTTCACACCTTCTAGGTTACTTGTATTGGAACCGGTTGTTTCTTTGACTTGAACTTTGACCCTTTGTGTGTGAAGTTTCTTTCTTTTCTCGATGTGTCTATTGATTGATGATCCACTGAAATGCCAAGCTTCTAAAAATTCTCTAACATTCTTGTTATTTCCTTTGTCTAATATTTGAACGTTGTCCCAGTCGAATTGATGTCCGTAGTTGTCTGTGTGTAGTGAAATGAGGGAGTGGATATCATGTCTTTTGACGGCTTGCTTATGTTCATGGATACGAAGACGAAGGGGACGTCCACTTTGGCCGATGTAGTGTTTTTCGCAGTTGTTACAGTTTATTTTGTAGATGATGTTGGTTTTGTCTTCTTTCGCTGTTGAGTCTTTCGGTAGACATAGAATTGAGTGCAGCGACTTTGTTGGTTTGTGTACGACGTCAATTCCTAAAGGTTTGAAGAGTCTTGTAGTGATTTCTGAGATATCTTTTATATATGGTAAGGCAATTTTCTTTGTGCTTTCCTTGGTGGCTTTTGCTTTGGTAGGTTGGCTTGGGGGTATATGTCTCTTGATGAAATTCCGTGGATATCCATTCTTTTGAAAGACGTCCATGAGATACTTTTCTTCAATTTTCCTTAAGGTGGGAGTGCTGCAGTGAGTCCTTGCTCTCTTGAATAGTGTTTGTATGCAATTCCTTTTGTGTGTTATTGGGTTGTTGCTGTTGTAATTCAGTATTTGGTCTGTGTGAGTTGATTTCCTATAAACTTGAGTTTCTAATTCTCCTGTAGTTGTTCGCCTGACTAAGACGTCCAAAAACGGTATTTTGTTCTCGGATTCCTCTTCTCTTGTGAATTTGATGTCGTTGAAGACGTTGTTTATTAAGTTGTGAGTTTTATCTAATTCGTTTCTTTTGATGATTACAAATGTGTCGTCGACGTAGCGTATCCAAATCTTGGGTTTGATCTTTGGTAGAATTATGTTTTCGAGTCTTTGCATCACTGCTTCTGCAATCAAACCTGATATTGGCGATCCCATGGGTGTTCCTTTGACTTGTTCATATATTTGGCCGTCGAATTAGAAGTATGTTGTTAGGCATAGATTTATGCATTCCATCCAGCTTGTGTGTTGCATTTTTGATTGTTGTGGCAGTTGTTCGTCGTTGCTAAGTAATTGCTCCATGGTTTCTTTTGCTAGTTTTTGTCCGATGGAGGTATATAATGCTGTCACTTCAAAGGATACCATTATTTCTTGTTCATCTATTTGGATTCCTCTGATTTTCTCCAGGAATTGGATAGCAGAGTTGATGGAGTGATCGCAAGATTCCGTTAGGTGTTTTAGTTTTCTGTATAATTCTTTGGATAAATTATATGTTGGAGTTCCCGGGAGTGATACAATTGGTCGTAATGGGATATTTGCCTTGTGTATTTTGGGTCTGCCGTAGAATCGGGGTAGGACTAGTCTATTGGATTTCATTCGCCATCGGTCTTGTTTTGTGATCTGTCCAGTTTTGGTGAGCTTGTTTAAGGTCCTTTGGATGCGGTTATCCAATGTTTGTATGGGATTTGTTGGGAGTTGTTGGTATACATCTTCATCTTTGAGTAGTTCTTCAGCTTTCTTGGTATATTCTTCTCTGTCCATGACTACTGTTGTTCTTCCTTTGTCGGCTGGTAAAATGACGATGTCCTTCCTATTTTTCAGCTTTTTGAGGGCCTTTAGTTCTTGAGCGTTGAGTTGTGTGTGTTGTCTTTTCTGTTTGACCATTGGTACAATTGTTTGGCGTATCTCTTCCTGTGTTTCCTCGTTCAAGTTTGATGATTTGAGTAATGATTCAAAGGCAGCGAAGAAATCAGTTTTTGAAGCATCTCCGGTGTTGTAGTTTAATCCTTTTTGTAGTAGTTGTTGTTCCGTTTTTGATAGTGGTTGTTTTGATAGGTTGACTACGCAGTCTATGGGCGTATTGTCTGGTTGTTGTTTTCTAATTTTGGCTAGCTTGGTTTTGAGGGCTCTTCGTCTTTGTTCTCTGTGTTTTTCACTTGACAGTGTAATTGCGGTGATCAGCGTTGACAGGTGTTCCTGGTTGAGGGTTTTCTCTAATTTTGCTTTTTGGATATCTATAATTTGTTGATATTTGTTGATCCAATAATGTGCGTCTGTAATCATTAATTTGACCATTCGTCTTCCACATTGTTCGGCCAATTTCCATCCCATTGGGCAGTTGACTGGTGGTTTGTATCTAACACTGTTTGGTAGGATTGAATGACGAAGGCACTCATGGAGAAAGAATAATTGTTCTCTGGTGGATCCTTGCCTTTTGACGAAGTCTTCCCACTTTCGACCAGAGAGAAGTGTATCCCTCTCGTAAGATTTAGATATGATAGAGAAGATTTGTAGCTCACTTCAAATTGAAGTATGCGCTGAAGATGTCACCCAGTAAGGTGATGAAAGCTTCGCAAACTAACCATCCAGCTCAGAGAACAAAACCACATCAAAATATAAACTGTATTTATATAAACAACCGTCTGATGAATTGAAAATATAGCATTACTTCCGTGCCTTGCCTCCTACTGTTACAGTACCAGTCAATCAATGAATACATTGATTCTTAATTACATTGTCACCTGGCACCCCTGACGTTTTTAATCCATCTAACAACCGCTTCACTAATAATCATTACCAGGATTCAAAGGTCTATGATTATATCATTATTATTATTCCCTTGAGTTCGAGTGGAACATATGAATTCAACAACACACCTCCACTTTGTCCTATCTTCTGCCGTCCTCTTCAGTTTGAACTATGATTCCCCACAATCTCTCATCTCCTCCTCTTACTCACACGACCTCCTCCATGTCACCCTAGCACTGACAACCCACTCGTCGCCACTTCCCATTCGGGTGCCACTTGGGGAATGGCCTGCATTGTGCTCAACGTCATTTGACTGTCTCCTCAACTTATTTATGCCCAATCCACCTCCATTTTCTCCGACATATTTGTTGAATTTTTGCAAGTTTCTTACTCATATAGAAGAATTGACTGACTGAATTCAGATTTGTGTTGAATAGAATCCGAATCTTGTTGTTTATGCTTCTGCGTGAGTGCAGAAGATTTGCAAACTGGTTTCATATTGATGAGGGCGTATCTCGCCTTTCTGATCCTCTCCGGCCTGCTTTAACGTCTTCACCCGTTCCGAGTGGCTGTAGTGGAAACGATGCTGGCTGCGTAGATAAGTGAAGGAGGCGACCTCAGTCAAATCTCTCCCGTTGATGGTGATTATAATAATAATAATTTTTTTCAATTATTATTGTTGTTGTTGTTGTTGGTGGTGGTGTGGCGGTTGGTTGGTTATCTTCATCACCTCCGTCTCCACCTTCTCTATGTTCACCTGGAGTCCTGTCTTCGCTGTTTGTCTAAACTCTTGAGGCGGTTTGTTGGTTTTCGCCTGCTTGGCTGTCTGTAATTCTTCGAATCCGTGTGACATTCGACACTTTGAGGAACAATTTAACTTGCCTACAGCCACACTGAACCTCCCCGCCATCCACCACGCACCCGAATGGGATATAGACACTGGTCCGCCGTCTGTAAGTGAGGTCACAAAAGCTATCAGTAATTTGAAACGAGGCAAAGCGGCAGGACCCGACGGAATTATTCCGGAGGTGTTTAAATATGGGGGTGACATACTAGTTTGTAGATTAACTGAGGTACTAGGCAAAGTCTGGGAATCAGAGACAGTGCCATCAGACTGGGGTAAGTCACTTATTATACCGATATTCAAGAAGGGAAACAAGTCCTCGTGTGATAATCATAGGGGATCAGCCTAACGAACATAGTCTCTAAAATCCTAGGCTCAGTAATCATGCATAGACTAAGCAGAACTCGGGAGGAACAAACAAGGGAAAATCAAGGAGGCTTTAGACCAGGTAGAGGGTGCATAGATCATATCTTCACTCTTCGACAGATTCTAGAACATAGACACACTTTTCGGCGTCCAACAATTGCCATATTTCTTGACTTGAAGGCGGCCTTCGACTCCGTGGATCGAAAGGTACTATGGCAATGTCTGACTGTGAAGGGAGTGCCAAGAAAGTACATGGCACTAATCAAGGCACTCTATTCAAACTCGCATAGTCGTGTAAGGGCTTATAGGGAATTGTCATCTGAATTGGTAACAACCAGTGGTGTCCGACAGGGATGTCCATTTCCCCATTTATGTTTAACTTCATCATAGATAGGCTAACGGAAGTATCCTCAACTGAACGTAGTGACTTAGGAATCGACTTGTTACCAGGGAATAATCTATTGGACTTAGAATATGCAGATGACATAGTCCTGTTAGGGGAGGATGCTGACAAAATGCAGAGTCTTCTGAACACCTTGAGCAGCAATCTTCGTATGTTTGGCATGCGATTTGCCCCTGCAAAATGTAAGATGCTGCTACAGGACTGGACTATGTCAACTCTTAGCTTAGTGATAGGGAGTGAAGTGATAGAACATGTTGACCACTTCACCTATTTGGGAAGTTGTATTAGCACCAACGGACTGATTGGCGATGAAATCTCAGCACGGATCCAAAAAGCTCGAGCTGCTTTCGCTGACTTACACCATCTCTGGCGTAGGCGTGACATCCGGTTATCAACCAAGGGGCGTGTGAACTGCTCATCAGTTCGCTCCGTCCTTCTCTATGGCTCTGAAACATGGCCAATACGAGTTAAAGACATGAAATGGTTTACTGTTTTTGATCATAGATGTCTACGATCTCTTTCTCACGTTAGGTGGTTTAATAAGGTAAGTAATGTTGACGTTAGGCGTAGAGTATTGGGCAAAGAGGGAAAATCAATTGACGAGGCTATAAAGTTACATAGATTGAGATGGCTAGGTCACGTGGTGTGCATGCCTAACCATCGCCTCCCCCGACGGGCATTGCTAGCTGACATAGGTGCAGGTTGGAAAAGGGTAAGTGGTGGCCAAACAAAAACATGCCATCAATCCATGAAATAAATCCTTGACAGTTAAACTGAGTCAGGTAGGGAGATGCAGACTTCCGGGTTGGGGCCCTCAGGACTCTAGGAATCAATGGCTGGAGACAATAGGTGACATGGCTCAAAATCGTTGTCAATGGCCAGCGCAGATGTATTCAGTCTCTGTAATCTTTCATATTTCTATTTACCATTACCCATTCTGTTTCACTCTTATACTTGTCAAACTCTTTTGATTCTCTCCACTCATCTTCTTGTCTACCTTTGTGTGCTATTTGGAACGTGGCAACTTGAACTGCTGCACTTCGGTGCCAAGTTCTATGTTGAATCCAGACAGACAGACAGACATTCGACACATGTCATCCACACGTGAAATCCAGATCGTCTAGAGTCTTCTCATGGGTGATCCAGCGTATTCCTGTCTTCTCACTCCCCACGTGCAGTGTGATGCATAGACTAGTCCACCACAATTAAGAATATCATCGGTGATAATGGGCAGCCAGCTTGTCGTACTCCTGTATACACCTCGCACGGCTCGTCCTGTCTTCCGTTTTGGATCACGTGACACACGTGGTACTGTCATATTGTAGCAGAAGAAGTCAAGATACGGGTTCCAGGGTGTATTCTGCATTGATCAAACCGCTGTTTATATATCTACAGTTTATATTTGTTAACCAACCAGTGAACGTGTGATTTGGTTTATATTGAATGAGATGAAAAAGAACGTTGAAATACACATCTAGTATTCTGTTGCTAATGCAGTATTGAACTGTGGGAATAGGTGAGAATAATAATAATCCGTTGGAACACATTGTCTGTATCCCGCCACCACCACCACAGTATCATTATTTTGGACAGAGATAACTTCGTACATGGATAAATCATGACTAACAAAGGAGCTGGTCCGTCCTAACATCCCTCTTCTTCAGTGAGTTCTTAATTGTCTGTCTGTCTGTCTGTTTTCGACATAGAACTTTGCACAAATGTGCGGAAGTTCAAGTCGCCACATTCCGTGTAGCACGCGAAGCAAGAGAAGAAAGTACAAGAAAAGCAAATAGAAACAGTGAGCAGAGGTGTGAGACAAAGGAGTAATAAAGAAATACAAAACAGTTTCATTGGAGATCATAAGTCACAGGGAGTGGATGCATCTGCGCCACTGAGAACGATTTTGAGCCATGTCACCAATTGTTTCCAACCATAGATTTTTGCCGTCCCGAGGACCCCAGCCTGGAAGTCTACACCTTCCTACGTGGCTAAGACCAACTGTTGTGGATTTCATTGACTGATGCCAAGTTTTTGTTTGACCGCCGCTAGCTTTTTTCCAGCCTGACCCTATATCCGCTAACATTGCTCGTCGAGGGAGGCGATGGCTTGGCATACGTAACACATGTCCTAACCATCTCAGTCGATGTAGCTTCACGACTTCGTCGATTGATTTCCCCTGTTTACCTAGGACTCTACGCCTAACCTCCATGTTGCTCACCTTATTATGCCACTTTACACGGGATATAGAACGCAGGCACCTATGATCAAAGACAGCTAGTCTTTTCATGTCTTCCACTCTGAGTGGCCAGGTCTCACAACCATAAAGGAGGACGGAGCGGACTGATGAGCAGTACACCCGCCCTTTGGTCGATAGTCGAACATCTCGTCTACGCCAGAGTCGGCGTAAACTAACAAATGCGAAACGAGCCCCTTGTATTCGTGCTGAGATTTCGTCAGAGATCAGCCCGTTGGGGCTGATGGTACTTCCCAAATAAGTGAAGCGGTCAACGTGCTCTACCACTTCACTTCCTATTTCTAAACTAGGAGCCAGCGTAGTCCAGTCCTGTAACATCATCTTGCATTTGGCGGGAGCGAATCGCATGCCAAACATTCGTAGATTGCTGTTCAAGGTGTTTAGAAGACTCTGCATTTCGTCAGCGTCTTCGCCTAGAAGGACTATATCGTCTGCATATTCCAAGTCAACGAGATTATTCCCAGGTAGCAAGTCAATCCCTGAATCGCTGAAGTCACCTAGGGTTAAGTCCATTAACACATCTATGATGAAGTTGAATAGAAAAGGAGATAATGGGCATCCTTGACGGACACCACTGGTCGTCACCAGTTCAGATGACAGCTCGCCGTAAGCCCTCACCTGGCTGTATGAGTACGAATAGAGTGCCTTAATCAGTGCAATATATTTTCTCGGAATTCCCTTGACAGCCAAGCATCTCCAGAGAACTTCCCGATCGACAGAGTCGAATGCTGCCTTTAGGTCAAGAAATATAATGACTGTTGGACGCCGGTAGGAATGCCTATGTTCTAGAATCTGTCGGAGGGTGAAGATATGATCAATACACCCTCTTCCTGGTCTAAAGCCTGCCTGGCTCTCTCGTGTTTGTGCTTCCCGAGCACCACTCAGTCTACGCATGATTATTGAGCCTAAGACTTTAGATACTATATTAGTCAAGCTAATCCCTCTGTGATTA